TATAATATAATAATAATGATAATAATAATAATAATAATAAAGTTCTATTAAAATCTCAACGATTCCCAACGATCTCTGAAGAAATAAATCCACGTTTAATGATATTTCACAGCTCTGCTCTATGACGTTGCACAATAGTTCAAACCCTCAAGGAAAAAAACTCAATTTACTATAATAACACATCGCATCATTCTATACCTGATTCATCTATGTATTATTATACTACATCTCAATACAAACGACGATTGGTCAATTAAAGGGCATCTGTCAGAAAATCCCTCAAAAAAAAAAGAAGAAACAAAAACAAACCACACATACAAGCATGAAGAAAGAAAAAAAAGGAGGATGCTCAGTTGAGAAGTCCTTTGATTGAAGCACGAATCACATACATTATTGTAGTCTCAGCCTTTTTACCCTTGCAAGATAATGGCTGTCTCCCAGCACATCACAAAGCAAGCCCTTTGGGCAAACAAGTCTTAACTGAGGGTTTCTTTTTTTTTTTTTAATGGAAACTGAGACTAAATAACCAGCTCATATAACTACAAAGAAACCATGTGGCTTTTCAAAGCTGAGTTTTGTCCTAAAATCAACATAAAATATAGTAAGTTAATTTGCTCTCCAGAGCTTTCAACAGCTAATGAACCCCACTGACACAGCCCAGCTTGCTGCACCTAGACCATCAGGTTGTACTGGGCAGCTCCTATGGAGCGGTAGGGGTGGGGGAAACTTTGCTGTTGAGAGAGGGGCAGTGAAAGAATTTACAACTTTTATTACAGCTCTGTTAATTAGTCTGCCTATAATGACTTGCAGGGAGAAAAAAAAACCAAAACGAAATAAATACAAATCAATGTATAGCATCGCATTTTACGACTGGGATTAGAGTATAATAAAATATAATCACTCCTAGAATTAATTTCGGATGCCATCCAATCTCTAAACTCTTTAGGAACAAGATCTATAAATCAGAAGACTGTGGCTGTGTAACAGTTGTCGCATCTCTGATCATCCTGTGTGTACTTTATGGAGCTATGTACATTTAGAACGTTTGACCTGTACATAAATCACATTTGTAATACAGCTCCAGGCACAGCTTACACATACAAAGGCTTGCTTCCCTACAAGGAGAGCTCAGGGTGTCAAACTTTCAGAGACAGGCAGCTAGATACAAGTCCTTTTCATGCAATAAGCAAAGCACATGTACATATAGTTCTGATAGGTCACAATATCTGCGCAGGATACTTCTAGAATTGTTTTTACATTTGTTACTAAACGAAATTCAGCTCCTTAGTTTCTGCAATCACCTATTTCCGGCTAAACTCATATATATCCCAGGACGTCTGCTGTATCCTTCTATAGCATTGCCCTGCAGGGCGACAAGTGTGCTCATATGTCTCAATTACAATTTAAACAACTATGCATTGCTTTCAATTCAGATGCTTGTGTGTGTATATATAAAATGTACATGTATATATGTGTGTGTACAGTGTCCATGTATATATGTGCATGTATATAAAGTGTGCACGTATATATGTGTGTGCATGTAGTTTGCATGTATATATGTGTATGTATATAAAGAGTGCATGTGTGTGTGTGTACAGTGCATGTATATGTGTGCATGTATATATGTGTGTGAGTATATAAAGTGTGCATGTATATATGTGTGTATATAAAGTGTGCATGTATATATGTGTGTGTGTAACATGTACATGTATATGCGTGTATGTATGTACAGTGTGCATGTGTATATGTGCATGTTTAAAGCATGCATGTATATATGTGTGTATATAAAGTGTACATGTATATATGCGTGTGTATGTACAGTGTACATGTATATGTGTGTGTGTGTGTGTATATATATATATATATAT